ATCCAGGCCGCCCTAACTGTGAAGTAGCGCCTCCTGTTATCTTGCCTAAATCTACCCTCTACCAGCTTGTGACCACTATTTCTTTTCACTCCTGGTAGTGCTCAGGGGAACAGGGCCCCCCCCCAGTGCCTGCTGGTCCCCTCTGATCAGTTTGTAAACAGCAGAGCAGGTGGGGGTTGGGGGGCACTCAGGGGGTCTGGGGGAGTAGGCTGGTGATAGGGCCTGGAAAGGGTCCCCCTATGACCCCCTCCTTCAGCCCCCCCCTCCCCTGCCCCCTACTTACCAGCATGGAGTCTGGGTCCAGTTCCCTGTGGCGGCGAGTGGGGACTGCCTGAATCTCCAAAGTTCTCTGTATCTTTTTCAAATCAATTCAGAGAGCTTAGAATAAATTTGGACCTTTTAATTGGTCTTCTGATTCAATTCAAATTTGGAGATTCAGCCACTGAATCGAGCCCAATCTCCTCTGAATTGAATCAGCACCCAAAGCTTCACACAGCCCTAGTATTTACCCTTATTTTTTTGCAGGTTTTGTAGGCTGAAGTCAGTTCTGTGGTGCCATGGCTAAACTGCCAGCAGTATTTTACTGGGTTTTTTTCCCCCTACCTGCTCCAGTGAATATGGGATATATACATGGCTATATAAATTAAATTAATATATAAATGAATTTAATATCTTACAGCACACGGCACAACACCTTCTGTAATCCTTAAGCATTTCAAAGCAGTATTGATTCCCTTCCAGGAGTTCCATCAGGTTCAGTGAAAACTGAATACAGCTTGTTGGGTTGTAGTTGAAACTGCAGTCGAATGTGCCACCTGTTTGAAAACTTTAGCTACATTATATAAGAATCTTTGCAACGAAAAATAATACTTTACTCATTTGCAATACACGAAGCAGTTTGTGAAGGCAAAATGTCATCACCTTCTCTGATCTTAGCAACTACAGTAGAACCTGGATCATTTGTATGACAGTGGTTTGCCATCTGCTTAATTCACAGCAGGTTGCCAAAGTAGAGAGAAGCTCAATGGTTTGCTTTCGGTTTTACTTCAAAGGGTACTGCTTCCTTACTTAGTTGGAATGCATCCACAATCACATACAAGTGATTGGAGAAGTGACATCCTTTGAAATAAATGTGGCATCAGACAGCTGTAGTACCTCAGTGGCCCTATGCAACTCTGTGGATCCTGTTACAAGCAGTCATATTTGCAGCAGAGGAAGGAACCCAACCTTGCTATATTTTGCAAAATCAGCGCTTTTTGGTTTTGGACCGTGCACGATTTTTCAGACAACTTCTTCAGAAAACTGTCCTGTTAAGGGTCAAATTCATTTATTCCGTTACAGAATGCACGTTTCATACATGTATCCTTAGATCACTGAATTTTTTTTTTGTAATTTTAGTCATGTACAGCTAACTGTAGTAGTATCCCTGACTCTGAAACAAAGGCTATGTACAGATGTTCAAAAAGCCTGAGGCAGAATCAGTCAAACTTATTCATGTTTCCATAAGCAGCGTAAGTTAGATCAGGAGCAAACAGAACACACATTCACCCTTTGGTGGGGTGGGGGTGGCATGCAAGCTGCAGACCCTGGCCGAGACCAACAGATTGGGGGTGCTTCTGTATGCCTCACAGCACTGCTGAGTACAGCTGAGTACACGGGCCACACCTAATTGGTTGCCAGACACATGCCCCAACCCCTTGCCATCATTGCAGAACCTTCCTTGTGGCCAACCCTCGCCTTCCAGAAGAACTCTTGAGCAGGTCACTATGGCACCTCCCCCCTGCCCCTCCCCCCCACTGCCATCTGGGTTACTGGGCACACCATGATGACCCGCTCTGGGGCTCTTCTGCAAACATAGGGTGGGGCATGGGGTATGATCCATGGTGATGACAGAGGGTTGGGGGATTGTGCTTGGCAACCAATCAGGCTTGGCCTGGGTACTTTGCTGAGGGAAGGATTGGGCCTCTCAGAACTCCAGCACTGGCAGCAGGAGGCTGGGAAGCCCCGCTTGTTCCCACTGCCTGGCACCAGCCTCCAAGGCTGCTGGGAACATCCTGCCACCAGCTGCATGGATACCTCCCTTCTCTCCCACCAACCTGCATGTGGCTGACAGCTGGCCAGAAGCGGGACAGGGGAAATACTCTGCTGGCTCTGCTCTGTGACTGGCCAGGGCAGGGTCTGCTGGGCACCTGGCTGGAGCAGCCAAGCATCCAGCGAGTGCTAGCACACCTCCCTGTGAGGGGAGGCTAGCAGGGGCCACAAAGGCACCTGGAATGCTAGGCAACAGCAACCTAACATGAATCAATAGGGGTTCTGGTACAGTAGTTCAATGCACTGGTCTAATCCAATTCGATTACATTTGAGTTCACATCAATCCAGATCTATCTTAGACGAGGTTCTGCCATTTTTAAATTAGCCTATGTGCTCTGAACCTCTGTTCTGTTACAGGTGTAGACCAGTTTTTGGTTACTTATACCAGTTTATGTGTAATGTCTATACCTGGCCAAAAACCAAATCACTTCATGCAGAAAAAAAATGACTTGTTCCATTTCACTTACCTTTATGAACACCATGAAATATGGGAATCTGAAATCGAAATAAGTAGATTTTGAAATTGTCAGAATAATTTATCCTACCCATTAGTATGATCTGCAGTTTTCACTAGGCACACCAAATAAGTACAGAATTAGACAAATGTTTTGTGAAATAATTTTTGGATATGTAATATAATAGGGACAGTAATGCTTCTTTAATCAGATTCTAGGCATTCCTTGCACTGTCTCTTTCCCATGCGGAGCTTTTAAAATATGCCACTGAAGAAGTTGCGTATTAACATTTACATGCTTATTATGAAGAAGCTATATGCTGCTTTTCATTTAGATTAGCAATTCATTGCCAAAGCAGAGGTAGCAACTTTGAGTAAGCACTGTGAAGTTATGATTCTTTAATTGGCATGCTGCTCTAACACTAGCATACTAAAAATGTTTCAGGACTGTTCTTACAGGTAGCCCAATGTCTCCAGTTAGAGTGGAACTATTCATTTACAACTGCAGAGCCAGGTTTCCAGGCTTTTGAAATAGGAGAAATATACTGTTTTTATAGTTATTTTTTTAAAACGGATGTCTAATAAATTATTTATAAAACTTCTCTAGCTTTTCCTTCCCCCGTGATGGGTTGCAAACACAAACACTGATATTGGACATTGATCCCATTATGCATGTCTGACTTTTCTAGGAATTGTTCTGACTGTGTCTTAGGCCTGCTGGGCTGGCAGTTGTGTGGTAATGAATGCAGTCAATATGTTTACGAGCTGAGAGACTGTCAGAGAAAGAGAGGTCTTATCTATCAGTAAGTTATAATAAGCAGTGGCACTTCACTTGCAAGTAAGATTGAAGCTAGGATAGATTCCAGCTTCTTGGTGGGGGCCTGACACTGAAAACTTGGGAGCCTCAGCAGGAAAAACAGTGTATATATGAGACACCGTACAGTTTTGACAGTTCTCTCATGTGCCAACTTTGCATTCTTTGCATCTTTCACTCTTCTTCATTCTCATTTAAGCTGGATTAACTTTATGCTTCATATCCTTTACCAATTATCCCTTTTTGTAAATTTTGTATATTTACTGCTCTAGTTATTTGGCAGAAACTTTAAGCTCAATATGCAGTACTATAGAATTAAAGTGACATTCAGCTCTGTCATTTTACAATCAACAATGCTGACTGGATGCACTATCCAAAGATATATTAAATTTGAGAAACTTTACCTCTAGTCACTGGTTACATCAACTTGGTTATGTAGCACAGCCATTAACATGATTTCTACAGTCTCTGAATAGATAAATTCTGTATTTATTGTGCGTGATCTAACTCATGAGTGCTAACATTTCTGATTTTCACTACACAGTAGTACTATTCCAGATGCTTAATATGCACCAAAGCTATGTTTAGTACTCTCAGTAATGAAATGAGTCCATTTATAGATGCGTTTTTTTCCTCTTCTCATTTCCTGACTGTTAATTCTGTGATCTCAAATTGATCTTTGCTTTAGAGTATACATTACTTTGATTTTTAGGGTGACGGCATCTCTTTTTTCATATGCTATTTTACAAGAAATTACATAAATGGTCTGCTTAAGATAAATGAATCCAATACCATGCCTGACTGAGCTAGGGACTACCAGTTCTCTTTTCTACTATTATAAGCAAAAAGCTGGAACAATCATTTAATCCCAGGCAGAGGCATAGTGAGCTCTTGCAGTCCTCTGGGCAGAGTGCCAAACACTGGAAAGCAGGAGAGTGGGAGGGGGTATAGGAAGTGTCTTACCTTCCCCGGCTCTCTCTGCACCAGAGGCAGATGCTACAGCAGGTGATGAGCAAGCTTACTGCACACTGGCCAGGATGCCCCCACTCCCTGGATTTTTGCCATGGGAGAGGTATCTCCTCACCCAGTAACATAAGTGGGGGTCAGAGGCGGGGGGGTGGGGGTGAACAAGTCACCAGGGGCATCCCCTACAGAGCCTGTACCACACTGCAGCTGGTGTTCAGGGTTCAGCTGCAACAGCCCTATCACGCTCTGCTGTGCCCCACATATTCTACTGGGTTAGGAGCTGTGCCTCCTCTGGCAAAAATCTAGGGTGAGGGAGCACCATTCTGCTCAACCCTTCTGCCACACACCATACTGGTCGCAGGGCTGCCTGCGTCTATGGCTGGGCTGTGTCTGCTGTAAAAACTTCAAGAGTGAAGCACCCTCTAAATTGTCCCCTGGGAATGGGGGTGCTTCATTCACACTCCCTCCTGCCAGTTACACTACTGATCCCAGATAATGAAATATTATATTAAAATGCCGCAGTTGTTAGCTTTTTTCAAAGAGAAGTGGTCAACATGTTATAAAAATGCTCAACGGTTTTTTATTTTTTATTTTTTAAGTCGTAATTTTTATCAGGGAAATTGGGAGAAGCAGGAAAGAAGGTTGGGTATTAATTTTCTCCAATCTGACTTTTAGATGGGGTTCCATTGAGCTGGTGGATTGGAAGAACCAATGAAACGCAGACTTACTGGGGAGGTTCTCTGCCTACAGTTCAAAAGTGTACTTGTGGATTGGAAGGGAGCTGCATTGATTCCCAGCATTACTGCAACTGTGATGCCGACAGAAATGAATGGTGATTTGTGTAGTGTTTACCTATGCTCCATATTTTGCTCTTTGAAAACAAGCTGAAAAATTGTACTGGTTCTAGCAGATATAAAGTACCACAGCTACTAGGAAGGAAAACTAATACATTCTGTGAACCCTAATTTAAAAATCATACCAAATAGAGATTAACTCTTAAAGGGCTAAATGATAATTATTTTGCTGTGATTTCTGGTTTTAGTTGATACTTGAGGATGGTATCGTTTTGTATTAAACTGCCCAATTTGAAGTAAATTGCATGTTCCACTATTACTAGTTAAAAGCTCGGCATATCTTTCAGTCATTAAAATTAGAACAGTGAAGCTAATTGGATTTAAACTATATGTTACTGGAGCAAAGCATTCACTTTATGTTCTTAAGAGATTTCCATTATCTGTTTTAACTATGCTTATTAGCGCTTTCCAATAGATTCTACTAGATTCATTATCTAAGAATTTAGGCAGTGAAATTCTGTTTCCATCAGCCTCAGTGGAGCCAACATTTCATCCAGGATTTTGACTAGTTTGGCATATGAAAGCTGGATTTTACTGATTGGTATTTCCTATTTGCAAACTCAGATCTGCTTTTAACCCTCTAAATTCATCTTGTACCCTTGGTCTCCAATTTGAAGTGTACAAATAAGTGTTGAGCTCAAGCTATTCAAATATATTTATTTATGTATTTGAATTATAAGCCACCCTTCCCAAAAAAAGGTTCAGAGCAGTTTACAGAAGAGAGCAAAATAACTTATAAAGCAACCAAAGAAGAGAACAAAGCAAGGAACAAAAAAATTTATAAAAAGCAGCACAGTATTAAAATAAGATATAGGGCACCTAACACCTAAAACAATATCCCAGCCTAAGCTTGTCTCCTAAATGCCTGCTCAAATAGGGATACAACAGAAAGATGCCTAGGCTTAGTCTCTGGCAGGTCTCAAGGGGGAGGGAATTCCAGAGCTGAGGGGCAACAACAGTGAGAATGGCTTTCTATGTGTTTTTGTCATAATGAATGAGGCACATTGATGTTACTTGCAGAAGTCTACCCGTGGCTGACATTAGGGATCATGATGGGGCACAAGGGCTAAGGCAGTCCCTTAGGTATGTAGGGTTCATATAGGTCAAGATTATCAACTTTGAATTACCTCCAGAAAACTACTGGGAGCCAGAGAAGACTATAGAGCACTCGATTTATGTGCTACTGGCAACCACCTCTCCTCTCTCCATTCCCCCTCCTCTTCCCCCAAGAGAGGGCAGGACACTATTTTCTGTACCAGCTACAACACTGGGTCAGTCAATAGCACTCACACATAGGGGTTGTTGTAGTAGTTTAGCCTTAAGGTTATGAAAGGTAATGATAGCCAGATCCAAATCCAAAATAAAGAATTACAGCCTTTTTACCAGAAGGCTCTTTGTTTAGGAAGCTAAATCCAGCAATCTGGTTTAATACCAATTTTGGTACAATACAGATATTTGGTTAACAGGATAGGACATTCTAAATGAAAAATTTTCTATTTTATTGGGCTTCCTCTTCAAATTTAACTCATTTAAATCATATACAGTGGGTATGCAGTGCATGCACACAGATTCATTGGCTAGTGGTGTATAGATTATGCAATAGAGAAAGTACCATGAAAGCTGGGAGTTCGGATAGCAGATATGAGGTAGGGGCTATCTGCACCCTACTGTACAAAATATGAGTTCATAGATCTCTTTGCCCTTCAGGTAAGCTCCTATCTGTCTTTCAAATGAAAAACTAGTGGATTTAGTTTGTGAATTCTGATCAAAGAAGGAGGATAGCAAATGTAGAAATGAAAGCACAACAAATGGATATTTACAGAAGAATTGTGTACAAGGTATTAGGTTTGCATGCATTTAGAAACATAAAGAATATGCGTCTTCAGTAAAATTCACAGACAGAGCAACATTTTCAGTGTTATTTTTATAAAAGAGGTTTAATAAACACGCATCACATTAAGAATTCCCCTTTTTTCATTGCAGAAAAATATAAATGACTTATGTTTCCAATTGCAATATAAATTTTGAGACAACATTTGTTAAGTAGTTTCTAATTCTTATAGCTTGTCCACTTTGGCTACACATTTAATTCTTGCTTATTTTTGTATGACCTTGCCACGGGTACTCCATGCTTTTGTGTAAAATAGACAGAGGACAAAATAGATTAAACTAAAGAGCATGCATTTGCCCATTTTAGCCAGCACATATAACTTAAACATGCATATGAATATATGCCATTGACACCTTATAAAAATCTTTTTGCTTGTTGTATATGAAATTCTTACATTTTCACTTTGACTGAAGAGAGACATTTTCATAAAAGGGATTTGCCCTTTTGCCTATAAAAACACAGAGTGGTCTGGCTGCATCAGAAATGGTTTGGTTCTGCTACATGGGACAGGCTTGATGCAGGAAACACTTTCAGCATAGGCACATCGACTTTGTGAAGTTATCTGAAAATGTGGATGTACTTAGGCAGGAGTAACATGATCTAGGGTGTAGCGAATTGGCTTTCAATCCTGGTTCTAAAGTTGCTTTAGAAGTCTTTACATACTGTGCTGGAACTACCATTTGAGGCTGCATCAACATCAACCTTGTAGACATATAAACAGAACTTGGGGTTTATGTGTCTGTAACAGAGCACCCTGTACAGTGAGCCTGCGCCCTGTGCAGTGAGCACCCTGTGCTCTGTTACTATCAGGATCCCAAGCAGCAGCCAGACAGTCCACAGCTGCTTGTTATCCTAATCAAGCAGAGTTGCCTGATTGGGGAACAAGGCCCAGTTGGTGTATATAAGGGCTGGATCCCTGAACTGAAGAGCAGCAGTTTATTGATACCAGCTGAGGAGGCAACATCCAGCTGTGCTGCTACCTGGAACACCTTGGAGGTAAGGGCTGGGGCAATGGGGAAGGAGGAGGCCCTATAGCCTTGGGTATGACCTAAAACTGTACCCTGCCAGGGAAGGGTGGCCTGGTAGAGCTACCTGTGGCAGGGTAGCTCCCCAGAAATGCCAGACCAGTTACCTTCTCACTGAAAAGTGGGTAGGGGTGCCTGAAAACTTCAACCCCCACATTCCTGCTGGGTTGTGACCTGAGACAGGGGTAGCCCAGGCTCACTTCAAGCACTGAGGCAGGGCCCAGGCTGGTGGAGGAACTTGTGGCAGCATCTAGTCTTGCAGGAGAGCCTGGGCACATTAGGGAGCTAGGAGCTAGGCTCCAGGGAGGTGGGGCTCTGAGCCTTGGGGAATTATTAATGAAGCTCCCGGGGCAAAGGGATATGGGGAATTTAGAGTGTAGTGGGATGGGACTTGGAACCCTAGTCCCATAGCAAGGGGCTTGGAGCACGATGTGAGGGGCCTGGGTCCCAGAGTGAGGCATATAGCCGAGAGAGGCTTGGGGCCTGAGGATAGGGCTTGGACCCCTAGGATGGGGCTGGCTTGTGGCCTGGAGACAGGGCTTGGAGCCCAAGGACAGGGCTTGGAGCTGGTAGAGGCTTGTGGCCCAGGGACAGGGTTTGGAGCCCAAGGGAGCCTGAGGATGGAGCTTGTAGGCCCAGAGATTAGGATGGCAGCCCAATATATAGAGAAGGTGATAAGGCCATGTGTGAGGCCAGGATAGATGTTACTCAAATTGCCAATTGCTCAAATCACAAGCAAGGCTTTACAAAGGGAGATAAGGCAACATGCCGCATTTATTGATTACATGAGTTAGATATAGAGGTTTGGGCACACCATTCATATAAACACACACAAGTCATTATAAACATCATTACACACAGGCATACACATACACAAAACAACCATTCCATTCACACATACACCATATATAGTTACCAGCAATAGTTGCTCAATATCTGCCCAGGGTGGCCAACCCAGGCTTATTAAGGAGATGATGATGATTTGACGATAACACCTGGAGCGGGGTGAACAGATGCATCTGTGCTCTGATGAAACAGCACTAGAGAAAGAGACTCGCCCAACTTGGCATTTTCAATGTGCCCTTTTATAGGGATTGGCATCCTTTGTTTCAGTGCTTCGGGGGGGGGTTCCATGCCCAGCTTCTGTTTTTGCGGTTGTTCTTTGTCTTCAGCTTATCTTAGCCTTGGAGTGTTCTTGCTGCCCATCTGGCAGAATGGGTGCATTCCTTTTACTCATTATCTTTTTTGTGCCTTAGGCCTAAAAGAGATTCATCAGCCATTCATTAATTAGTTTACTGACTGGTAGCTTACATAAACAGTTAAATCTTCTCCCATCTTTATGTCATTCTCTCACCATTCACCCTTTTACACACACTCATACATAAAGGCTATGCAGAGTTTATTCACTTATGTCAAGCAGAAGGATACAAAATAGAGTTTTCAAGTTGCTGACAGGATAAGACTAACGTGGTTATATTTCACTATTATTACACTCTATGTTAACATCAGCTACATTAGTTCAGTTCATGCTACATAGAGAATCCAATGTGAGGGTGCTGGGACCTCAAGCTCAGGTGGGGAATGAGTCCCACATGAGACTCCAGATCTTGGGTCCCAGTGCTAGGTAGCTGGAGGAAACATTTGCAAGGCATGAGACACATTAAGGGGAGGTCGGACCGTGTACAGAGGCCCTTGTCATCAAGATGGATAAAGGGCAGCCTCCCACCTGATTCATATCAACTAATCAGAATATCAAGGTGTGACAGGTGAGATGGGTGGGTGGCTAGCCCAGAAAGAAGTGGGCAGGCCTATATTGAAATCGGCCCTGGGACACCTGCTTGTTACAGTGTCAAAAAACAAACTGCTACAACATCAGCATCAGAAATGGGTTGGCACAAAAGTACTGAGAAACCTCCATTTTTCAATTAAGAATAGACTTGTAGTTTGTTACAAAGCAGTCATAGGTGGCAGTGGTACCATCTTTTGCCCAGTAGCCTTGTTGTAAATTCTAGACTTGGATTTGGCCCGAGGTAATTCAGACTCATTTCCCAGGAGAGTGGCCTAAACAGGAGGGTCCATACTAGGTTTTGTAAGAACCAAGTTATTTTCTGGCAGCAGGAGGCCAGGACCCAGGACTCCCCCATCCTCAGGTGAGTGTCCTCCTTTGTCTTTGAGGGTGTCTATACATGAGCACCAAGGCTGCTCCTGTGTTCTGGAATTCCAGCGCATCAGAGCAAACTTGATTGATTTGAGTCTGCTAGACTGTGGCAATTGCCATGCTCCAGCAGCCTCCTGGGTCTTGTATATCAGCATTCTTATGCTAAAATGGCAGCAGGGATGCCATTTTCAAGTGTGGGGATGCAGATACAAGAAATGTGGTGGCACTTTAATTAGAGCTTTCACAGCTGCTGTAGTTAAAGTGCTGTCCCTGCCTACCCCCAGAACACGTGTAAAAGTGCCCTTTGTCATTATCCCTCTTTTTGCCTCCTGGGACTAACTCCCACATCAGTGAAGTCCTACTTAATGTAGTTCATTCCCTAGTACTTAAATTCTCTTGGGAGGTGGAAGTTGTGGGTTTGAAACCCCTCTGAGGCAGGCCTGGAATCAAAATCTTGTATTTCCTAGGCAAATGCTTTAACCACTAGACCATTGAGTAAGAAGTGGGTAGCACCACCAGCTGTATTTAAAAATGAATTGGTGAGTACTCTCAGTTTTAAGATAACAAAGGTTTTATTTTTGTTTTCCTGACTAAGGTGTCTGCGTTCTGTGACGATATGAGAGTTCAGAAACTCCCTTGGATCTATTGTGCCCCATGCTGTAGGAAACCCCCTCCTCAGTACATGGGTTCTGTGAATCATCCTTGAGAGTAGGTTTCCACATTCACTGTGCAGGGACTCTTTTTGTGAAGAAATTGAACCAATTTCATTCATATCTAAAGGGAATTTAAGTGCATTGGAAACTTTTAATGGTTCCAGAAGCAAACATTCAAGTTGCACTTCAAACTTGTTACCAAAGGCTGCTCCCTTTTCACCTAGCTGAAATGTTTCTTGGCCATTTAGGCCTGGGAAACAAAAGTGGCTGAATGTGGTGCTAATACCATTGATTCCTTGTATGCTGGTGAACAAAGGAACAGGTAGGCTAGCCTTATGGGTGACTGGACTCTGGAGGACCTCTGTTTTAGAAAGGAGCCTTGCACAACTATGGAAGCTAAGGGGAAAAAGTCAGCCAACACCAAGAAGGCCTTGCATGTTGGAAAGTCCATGGCTTAAGATGCTAGCAAAGTGTTTTCCACAATGCATCTTCTCAGTCCTACCTTCAGATCCTGTGGTTGTCTCTGATTCCTTAATATGCCCATTAATGTAGTATTTAGCTTGCAACTTCATTACAATTAGTATGCTATTAGGCAATTAGACATGATTTAAGGTGTTACAATTTCCAAAGTGGGTATGGTTAGTTCAGCACAGGTAGTCCAGTACTGAGTGCCTGTGTAACCCAGGAGTCCAGTGTTGCTCCTAAATATAGTTAATTGCATATCCAAGATATTAGCGAATATCCCACCTAAGGTTAGAAGCATTAGCAATTCTCAGTTCTTACTCAAACTACTTGACTGCACCTCTCCCTTTCTACAGAATTTATGCAATATGTATTGGTCATCTTTGAATACTACCTGCATATTTCTGGTTTGTTTGGGTTTTTTTTAATGTGCTATACAATGTTATAAAGTTGAATATAAAAGAATAGCATCATGATTTCAGAATTCAGTTCCCTAAATAATTTAATTTAAAAAAAATGGAAAGGCAAGCCATTTTACAACCAATGTTTTCCCAATGACAAAATTACTGATGTGCAAGTACACTAAACTAGCTACATTTAGGAGAGCAGTTAGGTACCTAATTACATTGAAAATAAAATCTCATGCTCCTGTAGGTGATCACAACCCTAAACCTGCCCACTATTTCTAGAGGTTCAGTTAGGTGCTTAACAGATTTTAAACCTCTTAAGGACCACAAGATCAATGCTAAAGAATCTGTAAATGCACTCATACTGAAAATTACCTTTATTACTTTACACTGCAGCTGTATCTTTTGAAAATTTGGTCACGTATTGCTTTTTGGAGTTCAGTGCATATAGTACAGAGGCAATATACATCTCTTACGTGGCTTTTAATCAGAAACAGTTAGGAATTTTTTGTTCTCATTTCAATTTTTCAGGACTAATGATACTGGATTCCTCTCCAATAAAGAGCATCTTCCAGTAACTGAAATTGTTATCACAGATACAGATCGACCAAATTCTGAAGCAGCTTACAAGCTTGGGCCTTTGCTTTGTCGGGGTGACAGTAAGTAATAACAGACACTTTCTTTAACAGGGGTTTAAAAACTATAATGATTAACCAAAATTTTACATGCCATGTATGATGATAAACTGAAAGATATTTTAAGACAATATCATCTAATTGCTTGTGGCTAATTTAATATAGAGTAAGACAGAGAATTCTTATTCAAAGAACCTAAATAGATTTTTTTTTTTTTTTTAAAAGACATTACATATAGGGAGATATGGTGACGCTAAACATAGGAATAGATTGCAAGCAGGCACTGGGAGGATAAACTCATGTTTTCTGTGTTTCTTTAACTCAGTCTTGGTTACAAAGCTTTACTATGTAGAGATTGTTATGATCACTTTTAGAAGGTCAGGAGAAATGTACTTGCAGTCCTCTTTCTACCATGAACCCCTATGTCTACCTAAAAATGTATTATACCAGATACAAGATGTTTGTGTACTTGGTTTATGTAGGTATATGAAAAAACTGCAGTAAGAGATACAGTCTCCTGGAAGACATGGCTGATATTTGCAAAACACTTATAAGCAAAATTTTAACTAAAAATGAGAATCGCCAAGAAAAACTTATACAGTGGCACTAAAATATAGGGCTGATGGTTATTTCTTATATAAAGGTTCAAGAACAGTCTTATGAATAGAAGAAATAGTTGAAAGATAGTGAGATATCAGAAACAAAATTGAAAATGTGCTTGCCAATATTAAGTAACTAAACTGTGTGATGAAATTTCTGTTATTATTAACATTACAAACCCCACAACATCAAATCCCAAAATCATGGGAATTGTGGGGTATCATACAGATTTTCTTGCATTCATTGTACTGTTATGATGTGTGGAGTCAATGTTATGCTTTATCTATGTATGCTGCTTTTATCACTATGGATTATGTTGTTCTTTCTGTATGTGTAGTTATGATTTTGGATATTGATTAATCAAAGAGACTGAGGGATGTATACTTCAGGAAAAAGTAGTAGGCAAAACTACTGAATAACTCTTGCCATTCTTGTTCTAGAGCAAGGACAATTGTCACTCCCAATCAGACCGAAGGAGCCATTATTAGGTTGGGCACCCAAGCATTGTCTGCCTATAATGTGAAAATGAATCCCTCAGTAGCAAAGGTAACTGAGAGTAATGGTCCATTAGCCAGAAGAAGGTCAGATGTCCCAGGAAGAGAAATTTCTAGAGCATTCTGAGATACTTGAACAATTATGACAATAATTGCTGGTGGTAGATACAGGAAAGAAAGTGCTGACTTCTCAAAGGGAGCTGGCAGTCCTCAGTGTGCTGTGGCAGGCCAGTGGGGTAGGGAAGGGGAGAAGATGGGGTTGCCTGCTTAAAGGGCTGTGGGCAAGATGTCTGCCACTCCCAGCCCTCGCCACTGATTGGTTGCGAGGGCTGCCTCATGTGGCCCCACCCCTCTCTGCCAATTGGTGATGGGCAAGACTTCGTGATGGACAGCCCTTGTAGGCATTCAACAGCAAGGGGTAGGCCACATGACAGGCAGCCCCCCCTGCAGCCTATCAATGGTAATGGGCATGGCCACTGAGGCCTCTTGGCCAGTTAGAGGCATGGGGATGCCCACTTTGTTCTGTACGTGAAATGGCTTCCCAGGCCCATGTTCTCTCCATTAAATCAAAGGCAGCCCCCGTGAATTAGGTAGGCCCCTACCCATAACAAATGGGGAAAAGCACTCCTCGTCTTGGAATCATGCAATGATGGTATTAAGGGGAGATACTAAAAGCCTTGCTTTAACTGTTGGTTGGTCAGAAAAGAGAAAAAAAAAAAAAAAAGAATATAATTTCCAGTAAGTGCTATGCTTTGAGTAGAAAATATTTTTGCATGTTATGCTTAAACTATATGTAAGCACACAGCATTTCGTTTTGATCATGGAAAAGTGTGGATTTTGTTTTATATACACACTTATAGTATAGCATACATATAGTGGCATTTCATTTTAATCACAGAAGAAGTAGATTTTGTTTTTGGTTTGTTTGTTTTTCTTAATCAGAAAGTTTGGGATTCTTTTTTATCAGAGAAAACAAGGATCCCTACTAATTTCAGATTCAACAGCCTATATAGAAAAACATATTTAATACACACACATATGGGGGAGGGGAATTATTTAGAAAATTTTGGATTTTTTTTATCAGAGAAAATCAGAATCCCTGGAAATCAGATAAAACTGACATAAGAAGGCCAAAGACAACATAGACTAATGAGAACTCTTCTAAAACATGCATGACACACTTTTGTTGATCAATAAAAATATTAGAGTTACTTATAATTTTTAAGAAGGAAGAGTATTAAATGAAAGCAAACTTTAATGAGATTCTAATTGTAAGGGTTGAAATGACATTTATTTTGTTCTGTACCTTTTGGGTAGGTGAATAATACAGAGATCTATTGGCAAATACCCAATTCTCAGTAGTGCTGTCAAACAAGGAAAATGTATATCCTTGGACTCAGGAGTGTGGCTGAAGTGTTCACAAGAGAAATGACTTCTGCTTTTGCCACTCTAAAGAAGACTAAATTTCAAGATTAAATGATGTGATTCTACTTCAGGGGGGATATCCTCTTATTACCCATATATTTTATTCTTTTTAACAGACATAAATTATTACATCTCATAACTGCTCACTCTGAAACTATTCAGACAAATGTAGGAGAGAATGTTTACTT